AGTGATCTGTTCCAGGCAACCTTTGGATGGAGAAGAGTAGTTATAAAGATATTCGGTATCATAACAAAAAAAAAACGAAAGATATCTACGAAATATTCATTAATAGTCTCTTTAAAAAAAAAAAAAAAGAAAGAAAAAAATATTTTTATCAAGTATACTTATATTTAAGCATTTTTGAATATTTTTTTCATTACCGCCCATTCGGAACGCAATTTCAGCCAAGAAGAACAGGTAAGAAACTCAGCTGTTGGTTTCTTTTTTCAGAAAAATGAATGAATTCTGAAAAAAATTCTATAAATAATGAATTTGTTCCACCGACAAGAGCGCAGCTCTTAAATAGGATAGATAGAATGAATTTGTATGAATACAAACTACCAAGCAATATCAGATCATAAATTTTAAAATATTTATATATTTTATATTAAATATTAAAACAAAAAAAAATCAGTTGCGGTTGCTTTCTTTTTTCATAGATGCCACTGAGTTTTGTGAATATCAAAATGTACCTACTTACTTATTTTGGTAAAACATTGTATTCTATCATTGAACATTAACAATAATATATATACAACTAACTTCTCATAAAACAAATTGTTTTGGAACTCAAGTTGTTTATCTCTGGAAGTTTCTACTTTATAGCCAATAGTTTGGACATTAAATTGTTATGTATTGATATTTTATTGATAACAAAAATAAAAGTTTTACTCTGAACTAAGATATTTACTATAGGTATACTAACCTTTTATGTTTGAAACAGTATATGTACATTATGTACAATCAAACGATATATATATAATATATATAAAAATTGTCTACAATAATTACCAGAGGGAGACTTTGTACAAAAGTCGTTTGCTTGGACACCTCTGTCCCATTCGTGTTTCTACCTTGAAGCAGTTGTGTTTACATGGCTGTGTTTTGGTTTTAAAGGTGGTATATGACAGTAAATTTACAGGGTACAAAGAAATAACACCATAGTTCTCAGGAATAGGAACGCATGAGGAGTATTAAGGGCGACACATTATATTATTATATCTATAGGCGACGGTCACCACTTTCCATCAGGTGGGCCGTCAGCTTGTTTGCCATTCTAAGTTGTATAAAAAAATGAAGTTATTAAACACCCATTACTAGAAATCCCTTCTCCCACCTATTGAATTTCTCTCCCTTCCTCGCTCCCTTTAGACTACAAGATATTTTTTTTTTTTTACTTTATTTGGAATAATAAACAAATGTACAGTATATTAACTAAAATACATTAATATTTGTACAATCAATACCATTATGCTATAATTATATATGGTATTATCATAAAAATATAAGATATAGATATGGTAGTATAATAAGAATTCTATCTTACTTTATACCAACGGAACTCCATTATTTTTTATAAGAAGTTTATAAGAAGTATCTTAAACTACCTACTATTACTACCAAGCAGCTGTTCACACAAAAATGCAAAGACTAGAACTTGGCAGCAAAAATACTTTCCACAATTGTAACAATGGAATCCATGCAGACAAAATCTCTCTTTTCAAGCGAATTTAAAAAAGAAGGTTTACAATGCGGTTGTATTTTTTTTTTATGTTTGTTACTTCATTACTCCGTCAGTTCTAAATCGATTTGGAAATATGTTTTTTTTTTATTTTACAACACAGTGGAGCAAACGAGCATGCGGCTCACCTGATGGTAAATGACTACCGCCGCCCATGATCACCCAGAACATCAAAGGCATTGCAGGTGTGTTGCCGGTCTATTAAAAAAGAATATGCTCTTTTCTTGAAGGTTTTTTTTTATCTTACAGATTAATCTCAAGGAAATTTTATAAAAATCTGTTGAGTATTTTAATTTTAAATCAAAATAACTTATTTTGTTACAATTAAAGTCTTTTTTTCTTTAAGAACGCAGTTTAATTATTTTAAACAAATTCTGATCGCATTCAATACCCAATATGGCGAGGGGAAAGGGATTGTTAGTAATGGAGACTGAGAATCCCATTGCTAGCAATATACCCAACCAGGTCGACCTCCTCGCAGTTTCCCCTGGAAACTATCATGGTTAATTCGTGATGAATTTATCATGATAGGTTAACTGACCTGTTTTCATTCTCATCTATCACCCTTCACTGGTGCTTCGCCAGCGTATCCCGTTAGCGCGGGCGGAGTTACCATACCATTTTCACCCATCAAAAAAAAACCCAATATGGCGTAAATCCGACATATTTAACAGATTATATTAATGAGATAGGTATATAGAGATATGCACTTCGTTATTCCATCCGATAAATTAGAATAGTAAACAAAATTTACGAAACATAAAATCCGCTTCAAGAACAAGTATCCCCATCAGCCTGCTAAAAATATACAAATAACATAATACAATAAGGTAAAATGAGATAAAAGGGCTCGGGGAAAATACTGTTTGCTTGTTTGCACAGTACTTAGCCAAGTGAAGTATACGGTATGGGGAGAACATAAGGATTGGTGTAATTGGAAAAGATATCTGCGGATATCTTTCTTATTGGATATAAAAATACACGGCGAAATCAATAACATTAGAATCCCTTTATCATTATCTGCCGGTCAAACTAAACATTTCTCTCAGTGAAACGTTGGTTACAAACGTTTCAAAAAATTTACTTGAGACGTATAAGCGACGTTAGTCATTGCTAATATAAACTCAATATTTTTTTTTTTTATTTTATTCATTTTTATTTTTACAACGCAGGAGGCAAACGAGCATACGGTTCAACTGATGGTAAGTGACTACCGCCGCCCATGATCACCCACAACACCAACGGCATTGCAGGTGTACTGCCAGCCTTTTAAAAAGAAATATGCTCTTTTCTTGAAGGTTATAATATCGTATCGGTTCGGAAATAATGTAAATTCGTGTAATTTTCAACGTTGTTTTTAATAATTACTTAACAGAGCGCATTTATTGGAACATCTTAAGAGCGCCGCCTTTCTAATATTGTAAATTAAAAAAGCTATAAAGCAAAATTATCATCATGTGACTACTGTTTACTCAAGGATTTTTTATTAACTGTTTGGGTTATATAATGAACATACATACAGAATAAAGTATTTTGCTTTATCCAAAATTCTAGGTGTATGCCATATTTTGTAAGATTTGTTTAAGGTTGAGGTTTGAGTTTGGTTAAGATTTTTTTTATCCGACTTAGAATGGCAAATAAGCTGACGGCCCACCTGATGGAAAGTGGTAACCGTCGCCTATAGACATGAGCAGTACCATGGACATAACAGAGTATACTGTTTCGCCCATGATACCCCCCATACATTGCCATTCCTGAGAACTCAGGTGTTATTCCTCTGTGCCCTGTAAATTCACGTATAGCGTGAATTTACAGGATACAGAGGATCCCACCCTTCAAACCGAAACACAGCCATGCAAACACAACTGCTTCACGGTAAAAACACGAATTGGACAGAGGTGCCCAAACAATCGACTTTAGTACAAAGTCTCCCTCTGATATAAGAAACAAATATAATCTTTTTCAATATTAGTTAGCCTAACTGTACCTGCCAAGTGTGGCAACTACTGGCATATCCCCCTGACGGGAGAGATCTTTGTTCAACAGTGGACAGTTCACGACTGATATGATGGACAGCGGTTATCCAAAATTTACATATACGGAAATGCGGGGAAAAGTTAGTTAATAAATAAATAACTACGATTCATAGCACAGAGAGCGTTTTAAGATCCAATATAAACACCTCAAGGGTATTTTATAATTAATCAAACATTGAAGCCTCGCCAGACAATCGGAGCAAAATATAAATTCACTAACAGATAGGTATAGAAAGGAAAATTAAAAATTAACTTAAGTTGTTTTAAGGAAATTTAAATATTTAGGTAAATTTGACATTTAATATTGTTAAATAATTGAAGATATTTTTCTTTTCACATTTAAATAAGATATATTTTCAAAATTGATTATATAAAATTATAAGAAAAAAATTATTATCATTAATTTAAATTAATTCAGCCCTTAATTGTCCACTGCTGGACATAAGCCTTTTCATAAGGGGAGTTTTGTCAGCAGCTGCCATGCTTGGCAGGCGGGTTGGCAATCGGAGTTAGGCTTTTAGTGGTGTTTTAAGAGAGATGCTGCTGCCCATCCCTCGCCTTCCCTTAGTCCCCTTTTACAACACCCACGGGAAAGGAAGGAGTGGCCCATTCTATGACAGGATCACACAGCATGATAACAAGAAAAAAATATTAAATAAAAATAATAAAAATCTCTTTTAATGCTACTTCATTAGTAATATGTAACATTTTATTATTGTAAATAAGAATGTGAGAATTTTAGTTCATACTAGCTGACCCCGTAAACGTTGTTTTACCACTTATTGCAAAATATAAAAATCACAATTAAAATACAGGGGTTGATCGTAAAACGGTGAAAATTTAAAGTTGTATGTGTTTTTCAATGCTAAATTATAATAAAATAAAAATAAAAAAGTATGTCAAAAAAATAAAAAAAATATTTTGGGGTGGGTCACCCTTATCATTGACGGGTATGAAAAATAGATATTGGCCGATTCTCAGACCTACCCAATATGCACACAAAATTTCATAAATATCGGTGAAGCCGTTTCGGAGGAGTTTGGTAACAAACACCGTGACACGAGAATTTTATATATAAGATACAGACCGTAACTCAGATTAATATATATTTTATTGTAACTAAAGCAGGCAAAGTCACGAGATGTAGCTAGTAGAATAAAAATCCAAAACATATTCAAAATGAAACCTAAAATGATTCCCTTCACCCCATTTCATGTCTAGAAACTTGTGTAAAATTTACACAATCGATTCAGTACCGAGCTTTCCAGAACACCTGCGCAAATATTCATATTGCTCTATAAAATCAGATGTAACATGAATTTTTCTAATCTAATCGTCGACTGAACAATGGCCGATTGTGTACATGAAACAGCCATAGGTATATAAAACATTGTGAAGTTTGGCAAACAAAGTATTTCAGGTTTGTCGTAAGCGAAATATAACAGTTCAATCTGATATTAGCTTGATTTACCAAGTTTTTGCAATTATGTTTTCACGGAGAACTGTGTAATTTGTTATATCAATTATCATGGAAAGTAAGTTAATTAACATAATTTTATTAGCTGATTTTGTTGTTGGTGACAATGTTATTAATATCAAATACAATAAAACGAGAATTTTTTTTATACCACTTAGGTGGCAAACAAGCATACGGCCCACCTGATGGTAAGTGGTTACCGTAGCCTATGAACACTTGCAAGAGGTATTACGCGTGCGTTGCCGACCCTGAAGAAACCTCTTTACCCCCCTTTCGAAGAACCCCTTTTGTAGTCTCTTGGGAAAACCTCGGCAAAGAGCTCATTCCACAACCTGAGTGTTCGTGGGAGGAAACATCTCTGAAACCGCGCAGTACGCGACCATTGAGGCTGTAGGACATGAGGATGAACTTCCTGTCGATGGCGAGCCGTACAATGGTAGAAATGTTCGCCACATCAATGCAAATATGCAATGTTTTTGCAAATTTAAGTTTACATGATCAATTTTCACTCTTAATTATATGGATTTTGCTCCTCAAAATAAATCTGTCTTTAAATAACAACATTTATATAAAATCAATGCAAGAGTAGACTTTATCGATTATACAAATAGATAATTAAATTAATATTAAAATCTGTTTATAATTAAAAAATGGACTATTGCTTCTTTTTCTTTTTTGCAGTATTGTTGTAATAAGTACAAATATATTATTTGCTATCCATATATTATATTATCCCATTCGTGTTTCTACCGTGAAGCAGTTGTGTTTGCATGGCTGTGTTTCGGTTTGAAGGATGCGATATGGCGTGAAATTACAGGGTACAGAGGAATAACACCTGAATCCTCAGGAATGGCAACGCATGGGACGTATCATAGGCGAAACAGTATACTCTGTTATGTCCATGGTACTGCTCATGTCTATAGGCAACGGTTACCATTTTCCATCAGGTGGACCGTCAGCTTGTTTGCCATTCTAAGTTGTATAAAAAAAAATTATATAGCTAATGCTGTGTACATCTTTTATTGGTATATTAACATGTTTATATTGACTATTGTATTATAACGAACTATATCTGACACTGTTGATGTATTAATTAATTAATTAATTAAATAAAATTATAAATAAAGATAATACAGAATGACTTGAGAGTCATCATACTCGACAATTGAAGAAATGATACCTCGTGCAATGCGTACAAAAATTTTTTTTTTCATAGAAAATTTTTATTTGACTCATAATGCTTACTAATATTATAAATGTGAAAGCGAGTTTGTAAGATTATGGCGCATTAACGATTTAACCAAACACTATGAAATTTGGTATACTCATACACATACTATATGGGATAGAGAATGATATAAGCTACTTTAACTACCGTCAGCAAACATATCTGTATATAAAAGTGTTATGGACTTTTTATAAATTAGCAAACAACTTATATATATATATATATATATATATATATATATATATATATATATATATATATATATATATATATATATATATATATCTAAATTGCACTAAAACATAACAACAATAAGTTAATAACAATGTTAGCAAAGGTGAACTTATCTCTAAAAGAAATCTCTTCCAGTCAACCTAACACAGTGGCATAGGAAATAGTGAGTGGGCAGTAGTAGTGCTAAACAGAGGTTAAAATATTTACATAAATTATAAATCAAATGAAATAATATATTTGAAAGATACAATATTAATACATACATATGAATATAAACCTACATAAATAAGAATATATATACATATATATACACATACACACACACATACATACATATATACATATGTTAAATACAACATATAAATATCAAATAAAAGAGAACACAATGATGACAGTCATCTAATCATTTTTTTTATATTTAAACAATATTATGAGTAGACAGCATAAAGCAAAACCATTCTCTACGTTTGTTTATTCACTGCTTATTTCTTCTATTTAAACTACGCAACGAATTTTGATATAGTTTCACTGCCATTTAAATATTTTAACGAACGGTTTGTATGTACAATACGTCCTAGAGAAACTTTTGTTAGACAAATTAGTTAGACCTTCAATGAAAATATCTGGCAGCTTTTTATGTTCCATTTTTAAAATAGGTCACATTCAGTATTTATTATTATTTTTACCTCATTCCTGCTACTGTGCTCTGAGTAAATACACGTTCTAAAAACCTTTCCCTTTTTAACACTAAATTCAATAGTAAATTACAGTAGTAAATATTGCGCGCAGCATATACGGGTAGCCATTTTGAAAAGGAAATTGTAGTATAATATATTTTACGATGATTATAAATACGCAATTTAGCCATCCCACCATCAAATTTCCATCGTTGATGTCTCAACAATTACTAACTACCACAAATACCAAATTTAATTGAACTTTCAGAAACATTGATGCTCGTATTATCTCTGTCACTAACAGTGAATGGATACAGACAGAAATTCTTCTCAGATACATTAGACTCTGAGCCGACGATATCAATTTTGTACGCCAAAGACAAGATAAGTGATAGAGCTACTAATGAGTGTTTAATAGAGATGTACCCACGGAACCTTTATAAATACCCATTGAGGATAGAAAGGAATGACATACCATGTATTCTGCATTGCGTACTCAAGAAATTCGGTATCATGACCAACGATGGGTATATCAATTTGAAGAACTACTACAGAAGGGTGCAAGCTATACACAGATACGATCCTAGGATCCTTATCTCGGACGTAGGAGACACGTGTGCTCAAAACATAAATGCGATGAACTTAGATCACGATATATGTAAGAAGGCAAAAGTGTTCAACGACTGTACACAGCTGTATGCTATCTCCTTTAAAGAGCCAGAACTATGGTAGTTACAAGTTTGGAAATAAAACAATTTTGAATGTATCCATATATTTTGTAAATTGTACATTGTACAACCTTTATAATGTTTGTTGTAAAATACTTGTACCTCAAAACGAAGCTTAATTGCGTCGAAAATTTATAACAATGAAATATTATGAATAATAATAATTTCTGATAAACATCTAGCATTTAACACTTCTTTAAAAATAAGAGTTAAAATAATATAAACAGAATACATTCTATCTAAATGAAAACCATATTCTCTAATATCAAAAACAATGGACGTCACAATTTTATATAAGTATTTTTTTATTTTAATATATTCCAACATATTCTCAGTCGTTTTTATTCAAATAAATGTTCCTAGATTCCATTTGATTGCACTATTGTGCTTGTGCATAATGAAACATTGTTTGCATTTCATTAAAATAGTTTCATTTGTAGAAATAATTCAACAATGAATACCGTATTAAAACTTAACATTTAACAAAATATCTATTTCAAAAACATTCCAACACAATTTATTCTATGAATTAAAGAGATACGTATTTGTTTATAATACGAAATTTATAGGAAAATAAATGAGTATACTTGTGTTTTTTTTTTATACAACTTAGAATGGCAAACAAGCTGACGGCCCACCTGATGGAAAGTGGTAACCGTCGCCTATAGACATGAGCAGTATCATGGACATAACAGAGTATACTGTTTCGCCCATGATACCCCCATGTATTGCCATTCCTGAGGACCCAGGTGTTATTCCTCTGTACCCAGTAAATTCACGCCATATCCCACCCTTCAAACCGAAACACAGCTATGCAAACACACGTGCTACATGGTTGAAACATGAATGGGTCAGAGGTACCCAAGCAATCGACTTTTGTACAAAATCTCCCTCTGGTAAACTTTTTTTTCTGTGTATACTTTATTTGCATTATACAATAAAGGGAATAAGCAAGACAATTAATGAATATAACGATACAGTTGTATAAGTACAGTAAGGCGGTCTTATTGCTGAAAGCAATCTCTTCAAGACAACCTTAGGGCAATAGACTAATTGTTGTACAAGTAGGTATGAGAATCTCGTAAAATTAAGGAAGTAAAACGTTTTAGGAAATAATTAAAAGTATCAAATTTACATACATATGCGTTTTTCAAGGCACTTTCTTCCACGCACAACCACTTTTTAGAATCAACTTCCAGTAGCAGTATTTCCGAACGGATACGACAACATAACCTTCAAGAAAAGAGCATATTCCTTTTTAAAAGACCGGCAGCATACCTGCAATACCTCTAGTGTGACAGGTGATCATGGGCGATGGTGGTCACTTACCATCAGGTGAGCCGCATGCTCGTTTACCCTCTGTGTTATAAAAAAAAATATAAATCAATCTCGTATTGAGAAATTAGATACACAAATTAATGCTTTAAAAACATCATCTTCTCGTAAATACTAAATAAATATTTATATCAAGTTACTATTTATTGATGGTGAAGATATTCCAATAATATTTATTCACCACAACTCTGAACTGCTCAATAATGCTTTACGTATTTAAATTACGGCAAATTTTAATATTAATTGAGATGAATTATTAATTAAAGGAAACCAAATTCCACCTCCGTTTATACGTAATTACATCTTCTTTAGGTAAAATATAAAATTCTATTGGTTATCCTTCCTTTAATTTATTACCAAATTAAAAGTGAAATTTAATTACATATTTTAATAGAGTTTTAATTCAAATATGTACATTTAATTTATTAAAAAATCTCTGTTATACGAAATCCTGTATAATGTTGAATTTCAGCTAAAAATTTTATCAAATGCTATTATTTCTCGTAACCCTATAAAAATATAACTTTGTAATTTTATATCATCATTATGTCCGCCTTTAACTGTCCACTGCTAAACATAAACCTCCCCTTGGTGGGTTTTGCATGTAGTTGCCATGCTTGGAAGGTGAGTTGGCAACCGCAGTTAGGCTTTCAAGATGTATTTACGCTGCTGTCTATCTCTCGACCTTTCTTAGTCGCCTCTTACGACACCTACGAGAAAGAAAAGGGTGACCGACTCTGTGCCGGGACCATACGTCTAATATATCAGTTATACAATTAATAAAATACAGTTTACCTACTATATTCAATATATCCATTAATACATTAAATTAAATAAGTCAGAAGTTTTAATCTTACAAAATATACAACAAGATTATTGATTACAAATCTGCAAATACAACCGGTCGGTAAGTCATTAAAATGTCTCCAATAAATACCTTTCCAAGTAAATAAATATCTTATTTAATGTCACATTAGTTAGAAACAACGCCAAAATAATTCCTTCGAAAACTGAAACTACATATTCAAGCAAAAGTTATTTATATATATTCACTAATTCGTCTGTATTTTTTTGTGTTTACGTTATACAATAGCTTCTATATTTTATTGTAATCTTCTATAATTTTAATCAATCTTTATATAGCTTACCAGAGGGAGACTGGCCATGGCTGTGTTTCGGTTTGAAGGGTGGGATATGGCGTGAATTTACAGGGTACAGAGGAATAACATCTGAGTCCTTAGGAATGGCAACGCTTTGGGGGTTATCATGGGCGAAACAGTATACTGTGTTATATCTATGGTACTGCTCATGTTTATAGGCGACGGTTACCACTTTCCATCAGGTGGGCTGTCAGCTTGTTTGCCATTCTAAGTTGTATTGAAAATTTTATAGGTATAAATACATTTTTTTTTTAATTCTTATAAATTTTGTAACAATTGAAGTCACAGTTGCAGCGGAGCCAAATCGTGCTTATTGCTGCCACTCCTTTATATTCTGAATTCGAATATTTTCAATCTAATATGTTTACCACAGATAATATAATATTATCGTATAGTATCTATATTATCGTATATTTAAGTTTTAGTAAGTCTTTACCAAGAAGTTTTTCGTAAACACTCGTGTGTTTACGAAAAACTTGGTCGGTTATCGGTGGGTTATATCCATTTTAAAATAAGAATATTTAAATTTAATCTATGAGCAAAATTTTGATTTGATTATAATTAACTAACTTTTGCACACGGTTTCATCTGCGTAACCAGAATATGTTCACTTACCGAGTTATTTAACCCCTTGTAATATATATTACATTTCATACTGATTGATTAAGCCAACAGCGCCACGAAATATCAAATAAATAAACTCATTTTCAATATTAGCGAGGATGTAAATAAGTACAACAAGATATTTAGTAATAATAATAATAAAATAAATAAAATGACCGAAATGTGGGGGGTGACGTGTACCGAAATCATTCCAATCGTTATGTCGGTGAACGGTCTTATCCCAACCAGTCTGGAACAACATCTCAGACGGTTGGAATTCCAAGGCGGCTCACACCCGGGAAAGATGCAGAAAGCGGTGCTCTTAGATTCTGCCCGCATTGTACGCCGGTTTCTCTCCTCGGGGCCCTGAAACCCGGCCGACTGTGCTTCTGCCGGGGGTTAGTTTGCCATTTCCTCTCCTTAAGAGGGGAGATGTGAATTTTCCAGAAATTTAAATAGATAAATAATAATTAAGATGTAATAAGTACTTATTACACCTTATTAGAAAAGGTGTAATAAGTTGATAACAAACTTTTTACATTTAATTCTGTTGATTACATTCAACTGAGGTAAGAGGAATCCCTTCTTAATTAAACTTATTCAAGCGAACAAGAAACGATTGACTTCACGCTCTGTGCCCTTCCATCTGGACTTACTTTATAAAAATCGCCTTCATTGAATATTCATTTCTGGAAGAGGGCGCAAACAATTTTGCGAATTTCTAAATTCACAGTTAAATATTTGACAAATGCCAGTAATTTTTTACGAAGTACCTTGAAGTGTGTCTGTTAATAATTATAAATTTTGCGGTCATTTTTATTCCCATAATTTCAACTCTATCAGTCCATAATGTTGGGTACAATACATATCGATTTCGTTTCTGGATAATAAAAAATCGTCATTAGAAACAAAATTCTAGGCATTTTTTCTATATCATATTATTTTATTGGACGATTGGCCCGCGCTTGTCTTATCTCACTTGAGAGAAGAGGACAGCAAGACTTGAAGAATCTAAAATGTAATTATCAAATAAATAATAAGCAAGCGTCTGATATTTCCCCCTAATAATAAAAAAATGCTCTCGATAGATACGTTATCGCTACCGCGTGCGTAGGATAGAGAACTGTTGACGTGTGTGGGAAAGGAGATTGTTACTAAAAAGGACTAACAGCCCCAATGATAACAAAATCCCTGTCAAATCCAAATACGACATATCGTCATAGTCGTAGAATACTGACGGATCTGACAAAGATTACATATAAAGATACGTCAGTATTCTACGACTATGACGATATGTACAGTACCTCTAATAATTATGAATATAAAAATTATAGCTGGTTATTTGATTAGATTTATTTTATACAACTTAGAATGGCAAACAAGCTGACGGCCCACCTGCTGGAAAGTGGTAACCGTCGCCTACACACATGAGCAGTACCATGGACATAACAGAGTATACTGTTTCGCCCATGACACCCCCCATGCGTTGCTATTCCTGAGGACTCAGGTGTTATTCCTTTGTACCCAGTAAATTCACGCCATATCCCACCCTTCAAACCGAAACACAGCCATGTAAACACTACTGTTTCACGGTAGAAACACGAATAGGATAGAGGCACCCAAGCAATCGACTTTTATACAAAGTCTCCCTCTGGTAAGCTATATATATCATAAAGATTGATTAAAATTATAGAGAGGTATCCAAGCAAACGATACATATATACAAAAAACAATGCACCGATTTCAGAGAATAGCGTGATCGAACATAATAACATGAGTCTAGATGACACTTTAAACTTTGTATCACCTACAACGCCATCTATTAAAAGCATTCCTATATAAAATGTCTATTTAAAATTTTTCGACTTTTTAGTTGAACTCTAGTATTTTTCCGACTATTTTCTTTTAAACCACACTTGTATTATAACGAACAAAACATCAAACAATCGGTCAAGCTGTTTTTGAGTTTTAACTACACTAACGTTATCAAGGCGGAAGGAATTTTTATTAATGCGGACTACTTGTCCCATTGCTGATAATATACCCTGTATGGTCAACATCCACGTGGTTCCTCCTGGAAACGACCGTACTAAATTCCAAGTGTA